CCCGCCATCCCGCGTGCGAGGCGAAAAGAAAGTGTGGACGGAGCGGATAGGTTGCTTCCCGCGCTAATAGAGGGACTCGCTCAATTCCAAATTGCATTCAGTTGATTGATTGACTGATTGATGATGATTCCAAGCAACTGCCAAGGTCATTAGTACAGCAAGTACAGTGCATATTTTAATCGCGGCAGGTGAAGAATTGTTACTGCGCTGAAAGGTGAGATCCAGTGCCGACCTAGGTCAGCTTGCGGGTATTTCTCCAACCAGTACCTCCCATCAGTTTCTAAGCTCCCCACCGGCCTCCGGACATTTTTGTTAGTGCTATGAATGTAAGAGCAAGTGTGTGAGTAGGGTGAGAATAGACAGAAGAGGAAGGAAAGATAGCGCGCGGTCCGTGGCCCGTTTGTTAGGGTACTGCTTCGGCATTCGACTGGTGTTGATCGGAGAAACCACGAAAAACTAGCGACCGGAGAAGCCGGATCTAGAATTTTCCTTCAGAGGGTGGCTGAACTGCACTTGCTACCTAGCCAAGATCAAAAACCCTCCCTGTGACTGGATTCGAACCCTAGGACCTCCCAGTCAGAAGCATACTAGTAACATTAGTTGATTTGTGAATCAGAAAATTACATTCAAATTCATAGTAAATTCTCTCTGTTTTCTCTCTTGAACTTCATACCCAATCAATGAAAAACTGGACACTTCGAAAATAAGATTGAAGAATATATATCAAGTTGAGTTCACAGAAAATGATGTCCCTTACTGGACGGATAGGCTTACGGCATTGCTTGGATATCTGAATAGAACCTCATGAACGAAAAGGTAGAAGTGTATGAAAAACTCTCAGACCAATACATTTCAACGAAATTATTGGACAAGAATATTGCAAATTCATTTGATGAAGAGGGAGAACAGCAATGTGAATCTGATGTCTCCTATCCCTATATTGGCGGAGGTTTTTTACACTTTCGTGAATTTCGCCGATACATGCCACTGTCAGCGAAGGTGTTTTAAATTCACTAAAATGTTCTTAAAATTGCATTGAGTATACTTTAAAAAACAAATAAACATTTCTTAATTAATTCCTTTACATAATTATTTTTCTGCTATTGTCCACTCGAGAGTACTCTAATTGCAATTTGATATGCAACCTGCCTCAATAAATATATTCTTATTGAAAGAATTGCCATTATAGGCACTAACTGGACCTAGAATCAAACCAAAAAGATGTAACTTCTGCAATTAGAATGTTTGGACGATTCAATTTTTCTGTCGGCCCTTTTAGTTTTTAGTTAGAGGAGAGCATGTTTTGAAATGAATAGCACTAGTTTTGCTACAAAATTTTGATGATATCATTAAAATTTCGTACTACCGGGGGATAATACTCTTTAAGGCTAAGGAAAAATCATTTAAATAAGGAATAATTTGCGGACGTTAAGCAAAAGTACTCGATATATTGTAAAACCTTCTCGTTTTGAAGTCAGTTAAAGAGGAATTGAAGTAAACCATACGCATACTAAAGAAATAAGGGAACCATTAACGAAAGCAATTTCACGGATATTTTTTAGAAATGTAAACAAAGAATCAAATGTTCCAATGTGTTAGAGTTGATCCGTAATGACTCTTAAAATATTTGAAGTTCTGTGAAGTTGTTAGCGCATCCATCACCCACATGATGACACTTGAGTAACGTTGTAATCTCTGTGACAAAGCGGCGGCAATGACGGAGCTGTGACGTAGTTTATTGCACGGCTACAATTAATGTGGAATAACATTCAGTATAACGTAAATATGTATATACACATAGGCTAAAATGTCCAAATGTGGAATAAAATATGGACAACTGAATATAATGATAAGAATTGAGAAAAATATGCGGTCAAATTGCATCCATTCAATGATCAAATAGCAACTTATTTTTAATGAAACCTTAAGAACAAAATTGAGGTCTTTTTTGAACTCTGATTATACATTTTTCCGTTCCTGAATGTTACATTTAATTTTGTCCTGGTAACTGAGTATTTTACAAACAGAAGGTTGGAAAGAAAGCATTGTTTTAAATTATCAAATACGAAATTGCGGCTTTTTTGCCTGAATTTTTATTCGTATGTGCATGTATTAGTCGGAAGTGATTATATTTTTCGGACTCATCATGGCCATGTGTCACGAAATTGTACAGCCTGACAGGTGGCAGAAGTCCTCCCCCAGTGTATGGTGAGATCCGGCACCGACGTACACCGTGATATTTCTCTAAGTAGACATAAATCCTCGAACTTACTATGAATTTGAATGTAATTCTCTGCTTCACGACATCAACCGATGTTACTGCTGTGCCCCTGACCGGGAGGTGCTCGGGTTCGCATCCAGTCGCTGGTGGATTTTTGTTTTCAGCTAGATAGCCAGGTGCAATTCAGTCTCCTTCTGAAGGAGACGCTCTGATCGGTAGTTCTTCGTGCGTTCTCCGATCAACACAAGGCGAATTCCGGAGCAGTACCTTAAAAAACTGGCCCCGGACCGCGCGCTATCTTTCCGTCCTTGTTCTGTCCTCGCCCCTTATTTAGACACACTTACACTAACATGCAGTACACTACCACACATACCGGGAGACCGGTTGGGGTCTTAGAACTTGTTCCGGCTGGGGGCGGTGCCTCGCTGATGGGTGATACCTGGTTGGGAAAACCCCGCTAGTCGACGGTAGGTCGTCGCCGGATCTCGCCATCCAGCTTGAGAAGACCACCGCCACCTCCCGAGGGCAATGCACTACACTTACGGGACCAACGACCTCAGTAGTTGACGCGTCGGAATCATTAACGATCGATCGATCAGGAAGAGGAAGAAAAGATCGCACGTAGCAGGAACTCCATTGCTTACAGTACTGCTTCGTCATTCCCCTGGTACTGATTGGAGTACCTGCCGATCAGAGCAGCCGAGCGCTGGAATTCTCCTAAGGTTCCCGTGAGAATTCTCCTGAGGATTCTTCTGAAGGAATTTTGCCAGGATGGAAAATCCGCTACCGCTTCAACTGGATCTCTGCCGTTGGCCGCCCTCTTTCGCCGCGCCTTCTTTCCCGCGATTCGCCTGATACGCACAGCATTGCGTTCCGGAAGTCCCCAAATCCGCGGCCCAAACAAACCAACAACCGTCAGGCGCAGTAGTGGGAATCGGGCCGCGGCGCGACGCGGTTCGCGCAGCCATCCCTGGGGAATGCCGCAATCGCTGGGGAACGCGCCGACGCCACGCGTCTGCTCAGCTTCAGCCGGCGCCCGCCAGGGGAGGGGGAATCCCCACCCCCCCTGCACCCCGCCCCGCCCCTTTTGCACACGCGCCAAGGACAACACTCGCCACGCGCATTCCAACCACACTTTCGATTTCTGTGAATATTCAAGCTACAACAATACAAGTAGTGTTATTATATGATCATTATTATCATTATTATTATTGTTATTACTATTATTACTATTATTATATTCTTGTCGGGCATTTATAATCTTGCTACACATTCTCTTTCGAGGCCCGGTCCAATTCTATCCCAGCAAGAGATTCACGTGTGTCATTAAGGGGATCATCTTTTCCGCTGCATCCCTTGGCATGACAAGAATGGTAAGCCCTGAATTATATATTATGAGTTGATAGGAGTCGATCAGAGGTGATCGTGGCCTTTTTGAACCAACCCAGCACGACGGCCGCGGGCACCTCAACTGCTGTGGTCACCAGTGCCGTTAGTGTCGAAGACATTTTATCCTGGTGTTCCTACCCTGCTGGATGAGGACATCGGGCGCCCACCTACCCGTTGGCTTGTTGAGTTTTCCCTACCAGCGGGGCACTGCCCTATCGAAGACCAGCTCTGAGACCAGTTCCTGAGATGTTGGTGACTTTCTCTATAAGGCTTTCTACATACTATATATATATATATATATATATATAATATATATATATATATATATATATATAGTGTGTGTGTGTTGTGTGTGTGTAGTATGTAGAAAGTCTTATAGAGAAAGTCACTAACTACAGACTCTCATGGCAAGATCACATGTTGCGATGAACAAGACGGAGTTCCTAAAGCCAGTGGTAAAATTATCAGCCGAGAGGAAAAAAGAATGTAGGACGTCCAAGAATGCGCTGGAAGAACCAAAATTAAGCGGAGTAACAAGAATTATGCCTAAATACTTGAAGATAAGAAGAAGATTATATAATGTTGTATCGTCCGGGCTTCCGCAACTCAGCGCTGAAGCGCAAGGTAGAAAGTTGTTTCTAAAAATAGCCACCCGAACAAAAAGGTGTGTATGTATGTGTGTGTGTGTGTGTGTGTGTGTGTGTGTGTGTGTGTGTAAGTAGTAAGGACTAGAAAGTGGAATGAGAGATCGCACGCGGTCCATGGCCCGTTTGTTAGGGTACTGCTCTTGCATTCGTCTGGTGTTGATCGGAGAAACCACGAAAAACTACCGATCAGAGCAGCCATCCGCTCGAATTCTCCTCCAAACAGCGGTTGTTTTTGACCTACGGCTATGTAGCTAGAGTTGAAAATCTTGCCATCGTCGGGAGTGTGACCCTCGGTTCAGAGCCGTTGCAGACGCAATGGCAATGCTCGCGCTGAGCTGCGTCCACCGCTTTCCCCGTGTGCAGAAGGCCTGAGGTCCGCCCGGCGTCGAGTTCGCCACGGCCCCCCACGGCGCGGGCGGGCGGGAGCTCGCTACCTGCGCGGGAAGGAAAATAAACCGAGAGACAGCGCCGCCGACGCGCTGCTCGTGTGAAGTCTGCAGAGGCTGCCTCAATGAAGTCCACGAGCAGGAGCTTCCCCTCCGGCAGAAATACAACTTCACTTGTGTGCTACACTCAGCTCCCGAGGATCTTTCAGCTGAGGATCACGCGGTTGCTAACATTTTGACTCTCTATTAGGAGCTCTAATGAATTGCATAAAACATTATTTGATGTACTCTTACATACGTTAACATAAAGATTATTCTAAATATTGATACATTTTAATTTAAAAATCGTATGAGACATAATTACAATATGAGACAGGAAAATTATCAAATTAAGCATTGTAATATGATGTTGCGTAAGTTGTATCTACTTCAAAAACTACTATACACTGCACGTTTCGTTTATAAATCATTAATCATTTTTGAAAAGGTGGTAAGTTGTTTGAAAAGGTTAAAAAGTACTTAATAAAAAACGTGACAGTTTTGTATTGACAGTAGTTAATAGAAGGCAATGGAATATTAGGACACTTGGTTAGTAATTCTACTCATTATGGAACTGATTATATAAAGTGAGCCATTATATTTATTTATTAAGTCGTTATTAATATGTAAATTACATTACTTAATGTTTTGTAGCTAGTACGAAAACAACCTGACAAAAAACATGTCATCAAAAGGCGAGTAGATACTAATCTACCGGAGATTTTCTAAACTTTTTTATTTCCAGGCGTAGACGTCACATCCTCAGCGCCTAAAATGAAGCGCCTGAAATGATCAATCTCCTTATTAACTCATTATAGATTCACTCTCTTATTAACAATGTATTAAAATTGTATTACTTTTTCTAATCTACTGATTTTCGAACTAGTCTACTCTGGAGGAAAATTCTAGCGGCCAGCTGCTCTTATCGGTAGTTTTCCGTGTTTTTTCCGATGTACACCAGGCGAATGCTGGAGCCGTCCCTAACAAACGGGCCACGGACCGCGCGCGATCTTCCCTCCCTCTTACTTGCCCTATCCTCACCCCTTACCACACACACACACTAACACGCATTACATTACCACACATGCCGGGAGACCAGTCAGGGACTTGCAACTAGTCCCGGCTTGGGCGGTGCCCCGCTGGTGGGAGATACCTGGTTACGAAAATCCCCGGCAGCCGACGGTAGGTCGGTGCCGATTCTCGCCATACAGCAGGGGAAAGCACCACCACCTCCCAAAACACTTTCATTACACTTACGGGACTAATGACCCTGGTAGTTGATGTGCCCGAAATCACGGAACAATCAATGTATCTAACCAGCCTCGATTTTCTTCCTCGTATCGATTTTTGATCTCACTGCCATAAAATTGAATTAATTCTTAACACCATTGCCCTTTCCCCTGATCCTGGAGCGGGAAATCTCAATACGTATTCGAATGAGCGGTTACAGAATCTCATACAGAAATATTGTCGCGAAACCCCTCCTAATGCTTGCCTACATTTTTGATATTATGGATTATTAGAAGTCTTGTATTCTATTTCGAAATGAGCTGAGTTACGTTAAGTTCCACTACAGAAACCAACGTGGGTAAATGTAAATTTTTATTAATTTTTTTGGTTTTTCGGGCTTGTCAACTATTAACGTCTTTAGTCCAGGACGTCTAGCGCACATTTCTTCCGGGGTGGCGCACGGGACGGGGTGGTGAGCTTCCCCCCTCCGATGGTGTTATGCGGGGCCGGTGTCGGTAGTGAGGGTTTTCCCCACCAAGGTATCTCCCACCAGCAGGGGCTCCGAGGCAAACTGTAAGCTCGCAAGCGATCTCCCGATACGTAGAGAGCATAAATGTGTGAAAGCACGGAGAAACAAGAAAGGGGGGAATATCGCACTCGGTTCGTTGCCCGTTTGTTAGAGAACTGCTCCACCATTCACCTAATCGGAGAAACCATGAAAAACTACCCATCAGAGCAGCCGGTCGCTAGAATTCTCCTCGAGACAGCAGCCGAACTCGACCTACCTATCTAGTGTTGAAAATCCCGCTGCCGTGGGGGAGCTGTAACCGTATGACCTCCCGGTAAGAGGCATTGCAGTAACATCAGTGAATGCCTAGAGACAACGAAGTCGGTGCAATTCTCATATTACGGATCATTAGAACTCTTAAATTCTAATAACTCTTATTAGGAGACGTTCTGAGCACCACAAAGTAGCTGTACAGACAATGTACGAGGATAAAAGGACTTAAAAAACCTCTCGGAAGGGCTTTTGTGTGGGAATCCTACCTCGCCACGACAGGCCAAACAAGCGAACGGCTTTGGGAGGGTTTGGGGCGCAGCGCTGAACGGGATCCACCTGCATCCGACACCGCCACTCCGTCCCCGACGCTAATAGCCGCGCTCCACAAGCGCTGTGCCGCCCCGGGAAGAGAGCGGGGGGCTGGCGTAGACGATCTCTTTGTTGATTGGACCGGAGGTGCGTTTCGCTCCAATCTCAGAGCGTTCATTAAATTTAACCCTTTGCGGGAGGGATTAGAGAACACCACCTTCCCTTCCACCTTACTTGGGTTTTAGTCAACCTCTAGGGAAAAATATATTTGGTTTAGCACATCAGAGGTTCACTACAATTGATGATTCAAAAATATAATAAAGTTTTTCAATCACGACTGTCCAGTTCTTTGGTTTGAAAGCCCGATTCGGGCTTTGGCCGAACAGCGGCAACCCAGCCTCTCGGCCACGACATAAAGGGGTTCGAATGGTTAGCACGAAGACCTCCTTCTACCATATATACTGTACCCCATAACCTTTGGGTGGGCTTTCTCATAGTCACTCAGCAATAGGTATTGGGTCATTTGTAAACGAAAGCGCACAATTATAATTTTGGGTGTCGGTCGGGAATCGAACCCGAGGTTGCGCCGTGGAAAGCGACCACGCTAACCACGGAGGGCCGTTTGAATTATGACTGGCTTTATTTTGTCAGAGATACTGTAAAACATCCAGTTGCCCCTAATTCAAAATTTCAATATTTTCGTGTTGTCACAGTTTTTTGTCACGGGCCGATCATAATGCCTAGTCGAGTCTTATGCTGCCTTAACGCATTCCCACCCTCTTGCTCTGCTGGAGATTTTTTCCATTTCTGTGCCTTCTTCGCCAATGTCTTGTTTTCATCCGCAACATCCTTTCACCAAAGGCACAATGTCATCACTAGTTAGGAATTCACTCGTTTTCAGCTTGTGCTCAGCAACCCAAGAATTTAAGGTCTGCAGAACAGCCGTTGATGATCTGAGGCAATTACCTCATTGGCAGGCGTCTCCCGGTCCTATTCATTCAGCTAGATCGGGGATACTTCAACGACCCCTTTTAAGCAAATTATTTGCTTCATCGATCTCCGTACGTTCTTTCATAACGCCGCATCAGTCACACAATCATGACACAAAGAATTGAACATAAATGGCCTAAAGATAACAATGTCTTGCCCTCCACCCAATATTATCGTAAATGAGTCGATTTCTTCAATAAACGAAGACACTTCTCATTTTCAGTTATTAAGTTTCTCAATTTCACTAAAAAGAAATGGTTACAAAACGATGAGTGCTTTTTTTAAGAACTGGCCATAACATATATCCAAGGCATATTGCCGAGAGCCCTTTCTTGCGTGATGGAATATCGTTTAAAATACTAATTGATAATTTTTTGATTTTTCTGCACATCTTAATTCCTAAGGATGCACTATTGAAAAGAGAGGCCAGAGAGAATTTGGACAATTTTTAAATTTATTATCATAAGTTTTATTGCAATATATAACAAAAAAGTTAATTAAGTTCATTAATATTTTTGTAATCAATGGGATCATATTTGACTATTGACCCCCCTATCGACTCCCTGATCATTGACCACTTCATAAATTGGGAACAACTAACCTAAATGTTAGGAAAATAAACTCGCGAAATCCTTAGACTTAATTCAATTAGCGATACTGGCAAAAAGGTAAAAGACAAATCCTGAACCTGAAGTGGTGATTCAGGGCATTAATTCATCACTGCAGTGCAATAGGCATATTTGTAATGCTGGGCCCATCCCCCCACTTGATCGACTTTCTGGGTTAATATTCTAGTTGATCGAATTGCACGGTCGATCCCCAACTTGACCAGCTTGCTGGGTCGATCCGCCACTTGCCGGCTTGCAAGGTCCATCCGCCACTTGCCGGCTTGCAAGGTCCATCCGCCACTTGCCGGCTTGCAAGGTCCATCCCCCCCTTGATCGACTTGCTGGATAGATCCCCAACTTGATCGACTTGCTGGATAGATCCCCAACTTGATCGACTTGCTGGATAGATCCTCCACTTGATCGACTTGCTGGATAGATTCTCCACTTGATCGACTTGCTGGATAGATTCTCCACTTGATCGACTTGCTGGGACGAACAAGTGGGGATCGGTCCAGCGAGTCGATAGAGTGAAGGAATTGACAAGGAAGTTGATCAAGTGGAGGATCGGCCCAGCAAATCAATGAAGTGGAATATCGACCCAGCAAGTCGATCACGTAGGGGTCGCCCCAGCAAGTCGATCAAGTAGGGGTCGACCCTGCAAGTCGATCAAGTAGGGGTCGATCCTGCAAGTCGATCAAGTAGGGGTCGACCCTGCAAGTCGATCAAGTAGGGGTCGAACCTGCAGGTCGATCAAGTAGGGGTCGACCCTGCAAGTCGATCAAGTGGGTGATCAACCCAGCAAGTCGATCAAGTGCGGAATCGACCAAGCAAGTCCCTCAAGTGGGGAATCCATCAAACAAGTCGATCTGACTATCCTGAAAATTTAAACTATTTTGACTATTAAATATTATGAGCATTATATATTATGACTTATAATTATTAAATTGACAATTAATGCCCACAGTGTCTCTGACAGGAAGGTCGTAGGATCGAGTCCGAACGGCGTCAGAATTATTGATACTACCTGGAGAGCTGGATCAAATTCAATCGCTGCCTTGAGGGGTATTATAGAGACTGGTTTCTCTGATCGGTAGTTTTCCGTAGTTTTTTCGATTAACACCAGGCGATTGCCGGAGCAATACTATCAAACGGGCCAGAAACTTCACGCGATTTTTTCCCTTCCTTTTCCTATCCTAACCCTTTACTAACATGCACCGAAATTCCAGATGCTGTTAGACCGTCGGAAGGTTCGAGCTTGTCGTGATTGGGGTAGTGCGCTGCTGGTGGGAGACACCTGGTTGAGGAACTTCCTGCTCGCCGTCGGATCCCACCATCTAGCGGGGGAGATCACCACCGCTCGTGATAAAACCCACACTACACGTACGGAATCAATGTCCGTAGCAGTAGACGCGCCCTTAATCACCCACCAATCAATCCCAAATCCCGGTTTCCGAGAGCGTCACATGTAGGGCTGCCGCCGCTCCGCGCATCGCGTATTCCTCGCCAGCCGCCGCCGCCGCGACGCACGCTCTTCCCTCAAGTGCTCCCCCCCCCCGCCCCTCGAGGCCCACGGTCTGAGGAACCACGCGCGGCGAATCAATCCAGCGCCGCTCCAGCCGACTCCGCCAGCCGCTCTCCGCAGCCAGAGGACGCGCCTCCACGGGTCTCTCATCGTCCCCAAAGGTGGCGGTGTTCCGCCCGCGCACGAACGTGGCATCTGGAGCAGACCTACGCCCGCAGGTATCTCCCAAAAGGAGAGGAGAAGATAAGGGGCCCTTCACGGATTACGTAACGCAAATTTGGAGTAGTCTCAACCCTCCCTCTCCCCCTTGTTACGCATCTTTAATGCGGGCTTGAACGTAATTACGTAACGCTTGCAACAACATTCCCCCTTGGATGTGCAAGAAGTGAAAATAAATTATAGCAAAGAAAAATGAATGTTTATTTATTTTATTCGTATTGTATATTAAAGTAATTAATGATCATTATAATAGATATTAGTTAGCGATACCGACTGAACCTAACAATACGACTGGGACAAGTTGTGAATGAAGAAAGAATGCTTGGACGAGAAATGGTTGATAACAAGCTATGCACAAGCCATCGTGCATGATGCAAAAACGAAAGTATACAGCGCAAATGTAAATAGATTCTAGAATATACTTCTACAAGTTTCGAATATTTTCTTCGTAATCTGAATTATTCAAAAAAACTAAAATTTGAAAAAATATTTCCATTTATTGTAACAATTTACAACTAATAACTTTAGTTTATGTTTTTAAAACATTAATTTGTTAATATTTTAATGTTTTAGTACAGGACTCAAAAAAAGGAATTATTTCGGCAAATATTGAAAAACATAAAAAATATATATTAATGTTACGTAATACTTAACTAATACCCCCACCCGCACGTAACGCGGCGTAACGCTGCCTCTGACCCCCTCGTTAGCGTAACGTAATTTATGAACGACCTTTAAGAGAGGAGAAGAAGGAAACAGAAGAAGGAGAAAAAAAGAAGGAAAAAAATAAAGAATAAAAGATGGAGAAGAAGAAGAATAGTTAAGAAAGAAGACCATAAGAAGGGAGAACAGAGAAGAAGGGAGACGAGAAGACAAGAGAGGAGAAGAGAGAAGAAAACGAGAAAAAAGTCATTCCGACGTACGCACGATCCCGGAAGTAGAAGCCTCTCGTATTCTGCTCACACACACACACACACACACGGGCGCGCGGCGGCGTCATTCCGCTGCGAGACTCGCCCCCATCCCGCTTTACGATTCCCCCAACCCCTCCCGACCGTCGCCCCTCCATCACTGCAGTGGCGCCGCCAAGACGTGAGCTGCAGGCGGGAGAAGCGCACAACTACTCGGGAGGCGAGAGACAAGCAGTGATGGATGGGGAGGGCGGGCGATCACGTTCCACGGCAGAGCAAGTTCAAAAGGAAGACTGGGAACTGCGCTCTCCAAACACCAGTGGCACCGCCTTATGCACCTCAGGACGTCAAATGAAGTCCTGCAGCGACTCGGGCAGGGAGGTCCTGGGTTCGAGTAACGACGGCGTGGAAGGATTTTCGACGCTAGTGGTGCATCTGTTGTGCAAATAACATTTCTCTCTACGTGACAGCTAGCGGCGGACAGGGAGTGGGGGATTCCATTATCCAATCACAGGTGTCGAATTCTAAATGTCACTGCGCAGTTTTCAATATTTTTTTTAAAGGAAATCTTACAGCGCCAAGCAACTGTAAACTGAAGAGCGCTATTACTGCTTTGGTTAGGCACAGTGTCTGCGTTTCTCTGTCGTCTACTGCTGTGTGCTCTTATTACGATTTGTCTCTTTCTAGTGTTGTGATCTGATGCAAGAACGACCACACGACCACGTATCTGCCGCACGAGTAAGTGGCAACATTGTTCTATCCCCACCCCCGCTGTCAAGTTGG